TATTTGAGGGCTCATTCTCACTTCACGGCTTGATGAGCGTCCCTATATTGTTATGTTTTCAATTTTTAGGAAATGCATCACAAAAATTCAAGGTAAATTCCAGGTGATGGGTTCTCGTCAGTCAGCGGTTTTATTGTATGATAATAACATAAAGTTGATTAGTAAGTGTTAATAATTATTGGGTAAAGTCATATAATTTGTTAGAGGGGTTTTCAAAGTCCGACCATCTCTCCATCACTATTATTATCATTATTAATACTTTGATCTGGGGCACAATCATGCTGTAACTTTTAGTGCATCACGTGGGGGCTTTGGGGGATGGAGACAGGAAGTATAATGTTGCTGTAGAGTCAGTTAGCTGTGGGTAGCCCTGTGTGTTTTTGCCTATATTTGTTTACATTCTGGTAAAGTGGCACAATTAAAAGTAAGCCGAAGTTGCTATTGACAGTTCCTGTTGGTATTGTATCCATAGATGTACAGAAGTCTCTCACTGGATTACTTTAAAACTGAAGAAAACTTAAAAATGGGAAGATTCTTCGGCAACTTCTGGATCTATAAGGAGCATCTTTACTCTCAGGTGTATTGATGATTGACATCAGAGGTAATGGTATTCCCAGGAAGTGCAAGTCACACTGAATATAAAAATGTGTGCATCATGCCTGTGTGTTCAGGTTTGACTTCAGAGTATAAGACTCCAAGAAGAAGCAGTACGAATTTTAAAGCAAACCGTGGCTCCCGTTGCTCTCGCGCCCCCCTGGGGAGCTGCGCTTCACAGTTTGAAAGCATCTGTTCCTTTAAAAAAAAGCAGTATCTATCATGCAAGTCATGCCAAACCCACAGTAACAAATGAATTCTCACATTTGCAATATCCTAAATTAACAATGAAGCGAGATACTTGTAGAGCGGGATACTTACGCAGACTTTGAACGCCTGGAAGGTGTTGTCCAGCAGCAGTATGTTGCACACAACCTGTGTGTGCTGCCTGTCTCGCTCCAGCTCCGTCGCCCGGACATTGTAGGATCTGCCAGCAGGCAAGTGGAAGCGCGCGCTCATCACGCTCGTACCAGGGTCTGCAGCAAGCAAACACACACAGCGGAGAGGAGCAAAGGATGAGTGAAGGGAAACAAGAGGTGAAACAGCCAAAAACATAAAAAGAGTGAGGCAGGAATATAAAGGGAGCGTCACTGCATCAATGCTCGTAATGTACACGTACTTTATGACAACGTAGGTGAGCTAGAGGAGTAAGAGATGGACTCAATCCGTCTATAAAAAGTACACAATAAGACGATGTACAGTACAACATAATGTATTTTTCTCCCCACTGCCTCAGTGCAGGAAGCCACGCAGCAAGGCAAGCCTGTACAGGCACGGCGAGGCAGCGAAGAGCGACTGCTTCATGAGAAAAGAATGTCAATGAGTAGGCAAACAGGGGATGTGGAAACTACACAGCAGCCCGGCACTAAATCACTCACGAGCTACTATAAAATTCAATGAGAAGGGGAAAAACAAACGCAGCAAAAGAGCTTCAAATGTGTGCAATCCTCCTCCACGTTTCATTATGACACAACGTGACCGTGTTTGATATTCAAAAGAAGGGAATACGGCATGTTAAAAGTCAGCAGAAGCAACAATCAGGATATCTAATCCTTCAAGTATGTCTTCACTGTGCAGCATAACAATGAATAACGATCTTATTATTATCATAGTTGTATCGGTATTGGAATATACTGTGTACAAACACTCAATAGGGTGCTTTTATTGATTTTTGTACATATTTGACCTATTCTTTGAAGGAATAATTCAACATTTTGGGAAATATACTTTCCACTGGTTGCCTGGCTGGCAGCCTCACATTGATGACAAAAACTCCAGGAAGTTACTGCGCCTGAAGAAACAGTCCAGCACACAGCCCACTGTAACATCACGCTGTGCTGTGTTTACACTTTGCTTCTCGTCCAGATTAAACAAATGAGATATAAAATGTTCATTATTGGGTTTTAGAGGTGCTGGTAGGCGGACTTTGTTTCACTCTGAACAGAGCCAGGTTAGCGACCATGTGTTTCCTATGTCAGCTCTTTCTGTTTGTGTTGTCCCAGCAGTGTTTTTATTTTGCTTTTATTTTGTTGGGCAACATATGGCGCTGCGCTGGGATTTGTGTCCTCTCTGCCGGCCTCCTGCTTTCTTTCTTTTTCATTCCTTGGTGATCTGTCCTGACAGGAGACATAATAACTCCACAAGGGTCATGGCCCCGTCATCAGGAGCTGCTGTATCTGCAACGATGGCTCTGTGTGAGCGTGTGTGTGTGTATAGTATATATGGAGGGCCCTCTGCATGTCTGAGCGGCTTGTCACTACACATCAGCACAAACCCCCGTGACCACTGGCAGATGGCGTGCACACACACACACACACACACACAGTTGAGGAGGCCGCGACTAACGGCAGCAAAACGCCTCGTCACCTCCAGGACACTTGAGCTCCACTCGCATCCTTAACAGGTGGTTTCAATAAGCGCAGAGTGGAGATCATGAGAGACACACGGCATAGTTGATGTCGTCATTTCGTAACAGAACCGATCACACTTAGAGAGATGCATCCGTCCGTCTGATTCAGATCAGCAGGTGTCAGCGCTCTCCACCTCTATTGACGCCTTCCATGGGAGGAAACCCAGGCCTGTGTGACACACCGGGGGCCGTGTTTGTACGTTCAGAGGCTCTCACAGGTAGATGCTAGTGAGCCGCATTACAGGAAGTGTGGGATCCAGTGGCTGACAGCTAGCAGGTGAAATCCAACCGGGCATGATGGTGGTCGCGCTGTAGGTCACCCTGAGAGAAAGGTTTTCCGACTGCCAACAGAATGACCACACACACACACACACACACACACAAAATCAGGTGCACACTGACACAAGCTGCAGCGCTGTCAGCTCGGGGGAAACGGAACAAACGGACCTGCGAGATGAGCAGAGAGGAGCGCCGAGATCAAGCCACGCAGAGGGAAGGAAGGAGGGAAGGAAGGGAGGACAGATGGAGGGAGGGACGCTATCACTGGCTCACGCTGTGGAACAGCTACAGGCTACACAGATGAGGTCTGACACAGAGACTCTCTCTCCACAGGATCCCCTGCTCTCTTCCTGCTCCTAACATTTGTCTGCCATCCAGCTGAAGACAATTTAAAGACGGTTCATCTTTGTAGTGCGCAACCATATAAATCATAATTTCCCCCCCAAATATAACCTCTGTACATGACTTGAAAACAGCACTGATGGTAAATATTGTCAAAGTTCTCTGTAAAATACTCATAGCTGCTGTCAAACTACTACAGTGGGTACGGAAAGTATTCAGACCCCTTTAAATTGTTCACTCTTTGTTTCATTGCAGCCATTTGCTAAAATCAAAAAAGTTAATTTTATTTCTCATTAAAGTTATTAAAAAAGAAAAACTGAAACATCACATGGTCATAAGTATTCAGACCCTTTGCTCAGTATTGAGTAGAAGCACCCTTTTGAGCTAGTACAGCCATGAGTCTTCTTGGGAATGATGCAACAAGTTTTTCACACCTGGATTTGGGGATCCTCTGCCATTCTTCCTTGCAGATCCTCTCCAGTTCCGTCAGGTTGGATGGTGAACGTTGGTGGACAGCCATTTTCAGGTCTCTCCAGAGATGCTCAATTGGGTTTAGGTCAGGGCTCTGGCTGGGCCAGTCAAGAATGGTCACAGAGTTGTTCCGAAGCCACTCCTTTGTTATTTTAGCTGTGTGCTTAGGGTCATTGTCTTGTTGGAAGGTGAACCTGCGGCCCAGTCTGAGGTCCAGAGCACTCTGGAAGAGGTTTTCTTCCAGGATATCTCTGTACTTGGCCGCATTCATCTTTCCTTCAATTGCAACCAGTCGTCCTGTCCCTGCAGCTGAAAAACACCCCCATAGCATGATGCTGCCACCACCATGTTTCACTGTTGGGATTGTATTGGGCAGGTGATGAGCAGTGCCTGGGTTTCTCCACACATACCGCTTAGAATTAACGCCAAAAAGTTCAATCTTGGTCTCATCAGACCAGAGAATCTTATTTCTCATAGTCTGGGAGTCCTTCATGTGTTTTTTGGCAAACTCTATGCAGGCTTTCATATGTCTTGCACTGAGGAGAGGCTTCCGTCGGGCCACTCTGCCATAAAGCCCCGACTGGTGGAGGGCTGCAGTGATAGTTGACTTTGTGGAACTTTCTCCCATCTCCCTACTGCATCTCTGGAGCTCAGCCACAGTGATCTTTGGGTTCTTCTTTACCTCTCTCACCAAGGCTCTTCTTCCACGATTGCTCAGTTTGGCTGGACGGCCAGGTCTAGGAACCTTGAGTGCTGCAGAAATTCTTTTGTAAGCTTGGCCAGATCTGTGCCTTGCCACAATTCTGTCTCTGAGCTCCTTGGGCAGTTCCTTCGACCTCATGATTCTCATTTGCTCCGACATGCACTGTGAGCTGTAAGGTCTTATATAGACAGGTGTGTGCCTTTCCTAATCAAGTCCAATCAGTTTAATTAAACACAGCTGGACTCCAATGAAGGAGTAGAACCATCTCAAGGAGGATCAGAAGAAATGGACAGCATGTGAGTTAAATATGAGTGTCACAGCAAAGGGTCTGAATACTTATGACCATGTGATATTTCAGTTTTTCTTTTTTAATAAATTTGCAAAAATTTCTACATTTGTTTTTTTCTGTCAAGATGGGGTGCTGAGTGTACATTAATGAGAAATAAAATGAACTTTTTTGATTTTAGCAAATTGCTGCAATGAAACAAAGAGTGAAAAATTTAAAGGGGTCTGAATACTTTCCGTACCCACTGTGTGTTTCGCTGAGCTATACAGTCTGCTTTAGTGCGATGTATTGTTCGTGCTGCTCCTCTACGTCATGTATACTCTCAGTTTCGCTGTATTTTGTTTTCAATCCATTATGTTGTCCTCGGTCCTGCTCTGCTCTGCTGTGTTGTCGTTCTATTGTGTCGTTGTCGTGTTCCATCACAAACGTTCTATCACTTTCTGCTCTGCCGTGTTCCTTTTCAGTTGTGCTCTGCTGAGCTGGACAGGACAGCCGCACTCCCCTGAGAGAAGCCTCCGGAACTCCGGAAGCACGCTACCATTATTGCTTCCTGTAGTCAGCAGAGCTTACAAACAAGCAGGAGAGTGTGTGTGTGTGTGTGTGTGTGTGTGTGTGTGTGTGTGTGTGTCTTGACCCCTAAAGCTTCCCCTCAGTGGTGGGCTCCTCTGGCTCTCTCAGCTTATTGCAAACACAGACGGTCCTGGAGCCTTCCAGTCTGTACGCAGGAACACACACCCTTCATATGCACACACAACACATCCGCTGCACATTCAACACGCACATCCACGCAAATATGTCATCCAAATCAAGTCGTGTGTAGCTCCACTGAATCCAGATACATACTTGCAAACAAAAAAGTTTTCCAAACATTTCCTGCTGAACTATGATTCTCCCAGTATTTCTTATTCATACCAACAGAATAAAAGTCTTCAAGGGAAAATACTACACGACAGGCAACGTCTTCTCCCGGTTCGTATATATGGGACGACTAACGAACTTCATTTGCCCCATACGTTTCTATTTATACCGCGGATTTTCTTCAAAAGAAACCCCAAAATACGTGCTATGTATGCGTGTCCCTTTGTGCTGCTTTAAAACAACTGAAATAAGAGGCTCACAGCTCGGGATCCCAAAGGAATTATACATCAGCGCTGCACAGCGGAAACTAGGCCACAGACAAACAGGTGGTCAATTACAGATGTGTGCCAGTGTGTGTGTGTGTGTGTGTGTGTGAGTGTGCAGACAACTTGCGAATGCTGTGGGTTTTCATAATAAATGATTGATAAAAACTACTTTAAAGTGCCATAGATCTTTCTCTCGTTCTGTGTGAGACATTTCAAAAGGAACATATAAATGAAACAGAGGGGAACGGGAAGCCCGAGATCTGGTCTTAACCTGGAAGAAAAATAAGACTTCCTGTTCCAGATCTTTCTTTCTTTCTGCATCCACCCATCCCTCTTTCTATCTCTCCCTCTTCAGACCCCGA